GGCCTATGGTATCCCAACAGCTGGTGCTATTTTGGCGAGCAGATCCTGCTGAAGTTCAGGAAAAAACGATCGATGTGCGAGACGGGGGGGGGGCGTTCCACGTCCCACGTCCCTCACGTCCCCCGTCGCTCTCAGAACTGGGGTTTGACATGGGGTTGACCAGTTTCAGATGATCTGAGAACACGTCGATTTCAGATGACGTCTACCAGATTCTGAAGTCACGACTTTCTTGCAGCAATTCTCGATGAATCTGGATTCTTGGGTGGTATGTTGTGGCCAGATGTAGCCAGAAACCCACTTTGGAGGGTTTTGGTTGGTTGGCTGAGCGAAATTGTTGGAGCGTCACTTGAGGATCAGACATCCACATCCCAATGCCTACACTCCCTGGAAATAACATGGGAGTGGAAAATGGTCCCTTGGAAGCCATTTCCTCTACAAACAGAGGGTTTTCTGCTTCCATGTTAGTTCCAGGGAGTGTAATTTGCACCTTCTTTTGCCCAAGTTTGGTTTTCTTATGTTTTCTTGACAGGATCAAGAGCAGTAAATGATTTTGGCAGCTGGCAACTCCTGAGATCAGCACATGTTTCCTGATTGAACTGAAGAGTGGGGTCGCGATAACCACGAGACTGGTTTTTGGACTTCCAGTATCGTGATTTTGGATGCTTACCTTTGGCGTATAAGCCTTGCCGGGAATCCATGGGGATTTCGGAATATTACGAAAGCCAGCCTTCGTAGAAGGCGCCAGCTGAGTTGTGTTTGGCGAACGAAGTGAGTAAGTAGGGGGTCTGCGGGGGGTGGCCCGCAAACGTACTACTTAAACTCGAAATTAGGTGGGGGAGAGGGGTGCGCGGAAGTAAGGTTTTTGAGGTTGAGTTTTTGTGATTTTTGAGGGTGTGGTGATGCAAGAAATGCAATTTGCATCATTTGTATCATCTGAGTGGTAAGGTGTAGCTGGCGCCTTACCAGGCATAGATACCCAGGGTAGCTACAATTCAGTTACCAGGTATAGTCGGTATAGTACTTCAAGTTCCCTTTCCGTCAACCGCTCGATAACCTTTACACACGCACAGCAATCCACAGCTTTGAAGTCTCATTCGTGCTTTGAACTTATATAAGTCTGTAAGAGTCTTAGAGGTATAGCAACATAGCATTTATACGGACCCAGGGTAGCTACAATTCTGTTGCCAGGTATCGCACTGAGAAAAAAGGGGGGTGGCCTGCGAGAGAGGGGAGTTGGGGGGGGTGGCCTGAGAAAGCACACTCGAAAGTAGGTGGTGTGTAGGTGTGCACGGAAGCACGCCGTGTGCGATGCTGCATTCTGCCTTTGGCCAACAACGTGCTCGTGGACAAAAAATGCTGGCTTTCGTTTTGCAGCTGCTCAGGTGCTTATATTGTTTAAGTGCTTCAATACTTGTTGCTTGCAGGAGATCCTCCATTTTGCAGGGCTTCCTGGTGAGGCACAAACAAAAGTGCATATACAAATACAATCCCATCTAAATCCCGTGGACACAAGAGAAAGTGCCATCCATGCACTGTTTAAACCGGAGCCGGGCAGCGGACCTGGGGATTTTGCCGCAGGATGTGCTTGGCAATTCTCCTGGTAAGCTGCATCCTTTTCTGCCAAGCCCGGGCAATCCGTGTGATACGAGGCGCACAGGGAGCGCCGGAGCTCCAGGGTTGGAAACACTCGTGGCTTCACCTCGTGGAGATGAGAAGACTGGATCTTTGTTTTGTTGGACGGTGTTGTGGTGGATGGCAAGATTAAGACGGGTGGACAATTGCCACGGGGAAACCAAATGCCCTTGGCTTTGAACATAGCAATGGCATGAGACAAGAAAAGGGAAGGAAGGAAGGAAGGAAAGACCGACGAAGGGACGGAAGGAAGGCAGGAAGGAAGAAAGAGAGAAAGGGACATAGTGACATTCGCGATGCATGGCTGTTTCAACATGCTTTCAACTGGTTGAACACCTGGATTTGGTGTGTGTGTGACACAAAAATCATCAAAAAACAATATTCCGATGTATTCATATTCTGCTGTATATTCCCTAATCTCAATGAGGTCTTGACTGTAGCTCACTTTTCTGGGCTGGATGTGTCACTGCCGCGGGATTCAGACTTAAACAACTACGGAACCTGGTCCAAGACAGATTGCTTTCACCTGATGGGTTTAAGAATCAGCCTTTATGATTTATACTAATACCATGTTATACCCCTGTTTTTTGTGTTTGGAGAGGACAGGGGGGGAGACGATCTCACACACAAAGCATTCCATGTTTTGGTTGCAGTGATCAATGTATTTACAGTATATATGTGTAATTTGCACAAATTACCATACAATATATATATTTATATATACAGCATCCAGAAGGGCATGGTTGGGGTCTTCAACTTTACACAGCCATACAAGCTTTGTTAGGACCCCTTGCTGCAAGAGAGGGTGACAGTGAAAGGAGGATGCTACAATACAACCTAATCCTCGGGAGCTGCCCCCTTTAGGGTCAAAAGAGTTATATGTTAGGTTTGTTCAGAGCCATTTTCAGAGTGGATGCCGAATCGCCAATGCATTGATTGTCATCGGCAAAGCCTTCCCAGATTTGCGCCATCCACCTGCTTCAGCCACTGTACCACGGTGTGACCACCAAACCGACTTCAATTTTACCAGGACCTTCAAAGTGACCTCCTTTGAGTCTCCAAGTGACATCTTGCGGGCCTAAATGTGACCTAATGCTGAGATCTCAACGCCGGTCACTTGGCCCATGAATCCCAGTGATAAGGCTTAAGTTTCTAAGATGTGTTGCTCCCATCGGAAGCATTGTGCCTGACCCCTTCCTCCCCCTTCTTCTGAATCCCTGTGACCAGTGGTGACCTCAGATGGCGCAGTCTTTGACCCTCTTACCGGCGCCAAAAGGCATGGAGTTAGAGCGGGATCCAATAAATGTATATATAGATATATACACTCCCACTCACCAACATAGCAGTGGAAAATTCACTGTTCGCAAAGGAAAGTAGTCTTCCAAGAGAAACGTATTTCCATCCACTTCCGTGTGCCGTGTGAAGTCAAAGTCTAAGTCCAAGAGAGCCTGTGCTGCCAAACAACTGATCTGTCGTGGCCTGTGAGGCGCGTGCTACATTGTGGCCAGCTACTTTCACGTGCGCGCGGCACCGGATTGCTGGAAGTTTTACAAGCCTTTTGGATTGAAGATGCCACAGCCACCCTGGCACTCTCCACATCTCTCGATTCATAGGACTCGGCCATAGGACTCCACCGGGCACCACCGGCCCAAACCGGACTGCACCTTCAGTGAGGATCTTCTGCGGCCCCACTTGACAGAATCCCTACCCCCTTAGGATCTTCTTCAGAATCCCTTATGTAATAGGTAGGGATCTTGACAGATAGGTAGGGATCTTATATAATAGGTAGGGATCTGCCGTTCTGGATCTTACTAGGATGATAGGTAGGGATGTGGACCGAACTCCTGTCCCTCGTCCCCCAACTCCTGTCCTTCGGACCGGACCCTGTTCCACGCCACGCGGGCCGCCCTGGCCTCGGTGAGGCCCGTGGGCGAACCGCCACTTGGACGGGATGGAGCCTGGGCGAGCCGAGCGGTAAGGACAGTGACTGGTCACCTGGTCACGCCCAACTGGAAGGCATGAGAAGGCATTGAACGGCCGCCTGAGAGAGCGCGGAGTCTGCAAGTCTGCAAGTGATTTGTTGGGACAGTTAGAGTTCACTGAGGGGGCCCCCGCAAGCTTCGGACAGTTGGCCGTGAATTGGCCAAGCAGCTGAGCATCCAGGGATATCCTTTACATGAATGACCAGATGTTAACGGCTGTTATATATGCCAAGCTTAGAAACTCAATGCAGTAAGTCAGCCGCAATCAACACCCCTCAGGCCCCTGTTTTCGGCTTGTTCACGACTCTTCGGAGGAGTTGTTCACGCCTTGGATGTCTTTTTTTGCATGTTTGTCGTCCTTTGTCCCGGTCATAGAGGTCATGTATCCACATTTCTCAGACGACTGGACCCTCCAAGACCACCTTACACAATTCAGTGTCGAACGCATCACCATACTTCAAAGGGTGGCTCCATATGGATTCATACGTTTGTTGACTTGGCATTGGGTAATGTGACAGTCCAGGACCAACAAACAAACAAGGTGTTGACTTGGTGCACGGTGAAACAAACACCGTGAAGTCGTGGAAACATGATAACATAGAAAGCGATGGAAACCGGTCAGAAAAGGGATAGCAATGCATGTGAATAGGGCAAATACTAGCCACCAGGGCATCGCTACTAGTGGCTCCTGGCCTTACTACTAGGAACAAGAAGCTACTAGGAACAAAGGGCATTTCCACTATAGTAGGGCATGGTGTTTTTTCCTTTTTGGGCTCCACTTCTTGGGCCAGCCGCTCCGCTGCTAGCGCGGCCGATCTTGACAGGTATCGCTACAGGGCGGTGGCCTAGGAGCGCCCAAAGACGGTGGGTTTCGGCGCACGTGTTCAGCACACCAAAAAGCATCGAAAAGCTACTCCGAAGAGCTGCTCAGCTACTCTTTTGTATTTATGTTGTGAATCACCTGGGGGCGGTCAAGCGCGATCTTGCGCGATCCAAAATCGAAAAACATCGGCTCACTCCAATCTGAAAGGCTGGTGAACAGGTCGCCACTTGTCACTTTTAAGTCTCCATTTCAGCCACCATTTCGGAGACCTGTAGAGTCGGGTGCTCACAACCTGGCAGATGTATGTGTTTCTGGAGAAACCATTTGCCTAGGCAGGTTGGTGCTCCCTTTCGCCATTTGATGCTCCAAAGATCTTCGCAATGGCAAGTACTTCAGTTGGTTTCACAGGTGCTGCATGGAGTGTCCAGCACCTAGAGAAGCACAAGTCGTCCCTGTGAGCTGCTTGCTTGGGGGTGAAGTTACTTTGGTCACACTCTTTTTATGCAGGTACGTAGAGTTCCTCTATAATAGCTATACTTACTCCGTTACTACCTTGTTTTCTTGTTTTCTTTCCTGCTGGCCTTACTCCATGCGGCATCCGCCACCCGCCACCCGCCATGGAGCTGCGCTGCTTCGGCATCTCGGGCGACTTGGTGGCCACCGTGACGGACGGAGCGTCCGGTCAGGCGGAGGGGGCCGGGTGGAACGGACCGCGTTTCGCTGCGGAAATCAGCCGTCATGAGCCCTACCAAGAGAGGTTGAGAGACCAGAACTAGGACCCTGGTCTGTTAGTGGTACATATGGGACGGGCTGTTCAAAGTGCCTGTGAAGAACCTCTCTTATGGTTTCAACGACCCGAAAGCGGAGGTGATGCGCCATGGGCCATGGGCGACACGTTGAATGGAGGGTTTCGGTGCCAGGCATGGAGGGTTCGGTGGTACCTTCCCTAAGAATCCGGTCCTGGACCCTCCAGTTTGCAGGGGTTGCTCACAACGGTCCGGGCCTGAAGCAAACCCTTTCCATTTGAGGGCCCAGATTCATAGGGTGGAAGGATCAAAAAATAGCAATAAATATCATATAATATCATGTTTAGTGACCTAGGTGAAGTCGACCAGTTTGGTGGCCATCTTTGGGGGCGAATGAAGGAGCCAGAGAACAGGTGCGTTTCTACAGGTGCGTTTCTGATGTTTCTTGGGTTTGTTTTGGCACATTGCTTTTGAACGCACGGCATCGCACGGCCACGCTGTGCTCAGAGTTGACAGTTTACAGAGAGTTTGATATGGGAAATGATGGGAACATCCCATATGCAACTTGATGCAACTTGAAAACTAGTGCCCGGACACTCCAATATACGGTATTATACATTGAAGCCTTTTCAACTACCCAGGCTGCCGGACTGTAGTAACTTGCTGACCAGCACCTCAGATGTTTCGGACGTCCCACACAATACCAACCCTGGAAGTCCAAGACAATCAAAAAAGATGCATAGTCGTGAGATATTTTGAGATATCTGTAGAGAAGTGGACCATAGTGACTATAGTGGACCCTATTTGCCTTAAAGAAGACTGTGCTTACTTCACCTACTTCACCCAACTGGTCAAATTCGTTGGACTTCTGGACATGTCGGCATTGTCCCCGTGTTTCTCGGAACATCGGTGTCGCTCGGAGGCGCTCCGCTGTCAGCTCTCCAAGCAGTTGCAGATCCCGCGACAGAGGCTCCGCGTGGTCGACATGGAACGTCCCGATGAGGTGCAGGCGGATGGTCTTGGAGCGACGGTTGAGAGGCTGTGCGTCGGTGGGAGGACCGGTTTCTGGCTTCTAAGCCGCAAGTCGATTCAGAATGAAACTCTCCCAACTAAGTCGTCCAAAGAGTCTAGGAGAGTGTAGGGTTTGGACACGTTAGACACGTTCGGTTGAGCAACAACAAATCCCCCAAACTGCTCATGGACACAATTTGCGCCTGAAACCTCACGTCAGACGACGTGCCACCGCTCTGTGCAGGTGGTGATTCTGCCGTTATGCCATGGAGAGATTCATGAGTTGGTTCAAGCCGTGGAAGAGCATCTCGGTGCGTCCTAGCGAAGATGTTTTCTATTTTGTGTTGTTTCTGCATTTTGCCAGCTCCAAAAAGAAGACACGTCCTTGTGTTCAAGGTGTTTCTAGTGGATGGAACCAAGAGTGAGGCATTGAGTGGAAGCCAAATATCGTTTCGTTCACTGTTTGGGGTTCTCCCAGATTTACTGCTTGAGCAGGAATGATCACCTGGCAGCACAAGTCTTGCTGGAGAACTTGCAGGACCCTCGGGGGGGCGCTTTTGCGGCGCATTTTTCAGTGCAGATGAGGGCGGAGGGGGAAGGTTTGGATTTTTTCGGAGTCTGCAATCCAACAGCTCCAACAAAATCCCAAAGTTCACTGAAAAACGGGAGATGGATTCTGAAATGCACTATAAATTACTACTTGTCCAAGAGTTGGCTCCGAGTCTCCTGTTCTTGAAATCTCTCATTCATGGCTTACGTGGCACCTCCAGTTGCACCTCCTTTTCCAAGGTGTGGACTGACCCCGACTGCGTCACCCGTCTATCCAGACACTCCTTCAGGCCCTAGGCATACAAGAAGGAGGGCCAAGGTTGCGGGTAAATGGACCCCGTTCGTTTGGAACGCTATCCATGAAGAAAAGCTTAGAACATGCGACGTGCATGGGCAGGTTGCAGATTCAAGCGCCCCATTTGATGATTCAGAAGCAGTGCATGCTTCACTCCGACTTCTATTTTTTCTGAGGCGGTCACCTCTTTCGGTCGGGGCTCCCATGCAGTGAGTCAACCTTGCGATTCATCGTCCACAACACTACAAAACGTGCACTTTACATCTCAATTGGATGTGCGGAACATGAATCTCACTGGTAGTCGCGCGCGCTGATTTTGAAGTCTTAGTCATGGTCGCTTTTCATTTTTTGCGCCGCGTGTCCAAGGGTAGTTGTGATAATTAATAACATAAGCCTTAAATGGTATAATTATGCAGATGTTAAGTCATCATGACATAGGAGGGCCGCCCAACGCCTTCGTTTCGTATGTGCAACAGATTTGCAAATCGTGTTTCTTTCTGGAGGCCATTTGTGGTCCTAGCTTTCTCATGCCTGATTTCTTGGGGGCAATGGGCACCTTGCCGCCTGCGATATGTGCTGGTGAGGTGAACACGGCGGTTGATGTTGTTGTAACGGCTGAGCGCAGGGACCCTGACCCTGCAGCAACTCCTTCTCCTAACACTCCTGACCTCGCTCCTGCTCACCACCCTCCTCCTGCCTGGCACTGGGTCTGGGCGTGTTGCTGCTGTGTGGGACCGTGGAGTTGACCGCCGGAGCTGCAACCAACGAGCTGCAGGGATGGTGGATGTGGAGAGGCTGAAGGCGCAGAGGTCCGCGTTGAAGCGAGAGCTTAAGGAATGCGAGGCCTTGCTGCGGGTATGTCGACGCCGCTATCGTGGCTTAGGATGCGGTCCGTAGAATAGGATAGCATGTACAGGGTCTGTCAGGGACACCCTTTGCTCTGTTGAATGTGCCGGGTGAAGCGTTGAGATGTACTTGTGCCGCTGCGACCGCAGCTGGTTTTGTATGACGCACATGGCCCGCCAGGTGTAAATCAAACCCTGTTTGTGTCATTGTTTTGTGGCTGCGGTTGCTGGAGCTGTGTTGTCGTCGTGAAGCGGGTTGTCGCATTTTCTTCTGTTGGGCTGATGCACTACAAGAAAAGCATGTTTTTGTCGTAAAGCCAGGTAATGATGTGGGTTCTGAGGAGGACGTGGAGAGGAGTCACGGAACCAATCCCGACAAGAGAAGGGACCGATCATCCAAACACTTCATTTCCAACCACACCACCAAGTCAACAACCAATCAATGGAATGTACTTGACCCAGCTTGAAGACCGGAGCACTCAACCAATCCCCAAACTTGACTTGAAGAATCGAATGGCCACCAATGCTGGTTGGTTGCTGGACTGGTGGTCTTTGAATTTTGTGATTCTTCAAGTTGGGTTGGTTGGGTCTTGGGCAACACTGATGAGAAGATTGGTGAGGAAAGACCTTGCAGAAAAGATCAGAAAAGTGGAAATAGCAAGAAAGTGGAAAGAGAAGAGTGGGACACAATCAAGAACCCAAACTTGAGCACCAAAAAGGACCCCAGACCACAGCACAGCCAACCACCAAACCCAACCAATGGCCCAAACTTGAAGGTAGCCCAACCAATCATGGAACTTGGCTCAAGTGCAGTGCTTGGTTGAATGCTGTGCTCATCGTGGTGGTTGGTTGGGCGCGTCCAAGTGTGGTCACGTTTGGGTGCCGCTCCTCAACTGGGAGGTTGGGTGCTGCGGTCTTCAAGTTTGGGGATTGGTTGAGCGCTCCGGTCTCAAGTTGGATGATTGGCAATTGGGTCCTTTGGTCTTCAAATTTGGGCAATTGATCGTGTGCTGTGCTGCGATCTGAAATTTGGTGACAGGTTTGGAGCCGCGGTCTTCAAGTTTGGCTGAGTGCTGCGTGTATGGCATGTGTCATTGACATATTGTGGTCTTCAAGTTTGGGTGCCGATCTCAAAGCTCAGATGATTGGCTGAATGCTGCGTTTTGCGCTTGCGCCTTTGAGATGGGTGACTGGTGTCCTTGATCTGCATTTTTGGTGATTGGTTGGAGCCGCGGTCTTCAAGTTTGGGGATTGGTTGAGTGCTCCGGTCCAAGTTGGGTGATTGGCAATTGGGTCCTTTGGTGTTCAACTTGGGTAATTGATCGCGTGCTACGATCTTCAAGTTTGGACAATTGTTTGTGTGCTGCGATCTGCAAATTTGGTGATTGGTTTGGAGCCGCGGACGGGCCACAGCGCCATCCTCTCCTTCGGAACGTGGGCCCTTTGTGGTTGTTCCTTTGGATGGTCAGGCAAGTTGGGTGAACCCTGCGTGGAGACTCTTCCGACATTCTCCTGGAGTCTCTGCTAAGGGGGGTGATTGGTTGGGTCTTTGGTGTTCAATTTGGAAGTTGATCGTGTGCTACGATCTTCAAGTTTGGACAATTGGTTGTGTGCTGCGATCTGCAAATTTGGTGACTGTTTGGAGCCGCGGTCTTCAAGTTTGGTGGTTGGCTGAGTGCTGCGGCAAGTTGGGTGTTGGTTGGGTCCTTTGGTGCTCAAGTTTGGGCAATTGATCGTGTGCAACGATCTTCAAGTTTGGACAATTGCTTGTGTAGTGCTGCGATCTTCAAGTGGGGCAATTGGCTGCTGCGGTCTTCGAGCTGACCGCAGTGTCCTGCGCGCAAAAAAACTTTCCACTTGAGCACCAAACCCAACCAAATCAGGAACTTTGCTGTCATGCGTCATGCTGTGTGCAACATCAGTGTTTCAAATTGGGCGCCGATCTTCAAGCTTGGATGACTTTGCGTTTGCGCCCTTGAGAGGGTGATTGATTGGCTGGGGCCTTGATCTTCAAGGGCAATTGGCTGCGCAGAAGAAAGAAGAGGAGAAGAAAAAAAGAAAGAAGGGGAGAAGAAGAAAAGCAAACAGATTAAAATAACAAGTATAAAAGAGAAGAAGAAAAGAAAGAAGAGGAGAAGAAGAGAAGAAAGAAGAGGAGAAGAAGAGAAAAAAGAAGAGGAGAAGAAGATAAGAAAGAAGAGGAGAAGAGGAGAACATATACTTTCGAGCGTGACGACTTTGCCCATCGCTTCACTTGTACTGTGGCGTGTTTTTTGTGTTTGTTGAATTTTGAGGCGCGCAAAAGAAACCAGTTCACATGATGATGTCAGTCTTCGTTCTGACTTGGTGAAGGTGGCTAGCAAAACCAGCGCGTTCTTGTAGTTGTTGTTTCCCCGCGCTTCTTTTTTGGAGGCTTCGCCGCCAATCTGCCACTCGTATGTCAGCAGACTAGCACTTCTTGTTTTCTGTCATGTACTTGTTTCCCAGAAAGGCATCGCTCTGGTTGCCACGAGGCAATCGTATGCTGCACGCGTTTCCGCCGATGGGTTTGTGCGAATGTTCGAGGCAAACTGAAAGGGAATTGAAATCTGAAACCGGTGGCCGTTGCTGCAGGCAATGGCCGGCGCATAGTTGCTTTTGTCTTGGCTTGATGTAGCTTGCCACTTGTTAGGAAGGTCTTGGTCTCAGTGTTGAAAACATTAGAAACCATCAAACCTGTTGGAATGGGGTCGTGGATGTTTGGATCACGACAGCTTCTGACCAGTGTGCGCAACAAAGGGCCAACTCTTGCGACGAAACGTGGCGCCTGTGTCTTTCGTGGCAACCTTGAGCGAATTGACGGGAAGGGCGAAACCCAAGAAGCCCCATCGTTGTCGTGGAGGTCGCGGGAAGGGCCCCCGCCTGGGTTAACAAAAACCCCGCGACCGAGGAAGCGACAACGATGCCCATTGGGAGGGGAGGTATTCATGAATATCTCCCAGGCAAAGGGCCACACACTTTATGCCGAGCAAAAGCGCAAGGAGTCAGCATTCTAGAAGATGGGATGCTCATGGTTCTTCAAGTCAGCCCTTGCTTCCAAACAAATTGAGAGCTTTCACAAGAGGATGGACTGTAACAATTGGAACTTGACCATCATAATATTTGTGCATTATGTATAATCGAACGCACGTTAAAAATATATTGTTTAGTACTTGTTCGTATATCACCATATTATATTATTTTGTTTTGTTTCTCCTGGGATGCTTGGTTTGGACTCGTGACCGACACGCAAACCTTGGGCCAGTCTGTCAGCGGAACCTCACTGCAACCTGCAGCTCAAGGAAACTAGCGCCCAGGTGGTGCTTTGACTGGGACACCCTGGTTGACCATTCAAAATGAACAGAACTTGACCACCATGAAGGTCCACCTAGGGTTTGGTGCTCCAAAAATTTGTGGCAGGCTGAAGAAGAGGATTGCTCTTGTACGGTGCTTTGCCGACTCCGCCACTCTGGCCACTTCCTGTCCAGCACAGAGGAGGAATTGCGACGAGTTTGGGCCGTGGAAGGCAGTGTTCGATCTGTTTCCTCGACTTAGGGATGAGAAATCCGGAGCCACTACTACTGCTACTACCACTACCATGCTACCACTACTACCACAACAACAACAACAACAACAACAACAACAACAACAACAACAACTACTACTACTACTACTACTAGCACCACCGCTACCACTACAACTACCACGACTAC